TGGATCACCTGATTATTTGCTCCCCCTCCGCTTACTTCAATCCATGATTAAACACACAAATGCTACTGGGGTTAGTGGTAGGGTGGTTATTCTTTGGGTGCTATAAGCTAGGGGTGGGGTGAGTCTTCAGGAGATCCATCCTTTCTTCAAAACGTCTTGCTAGAGTTGAATAAAATCCACACAGTAGCTGACAAACATCCCATCTTATATCATTACTCATCAAACATTTACTGTACCTCTCCATGTCACTGTCTACAACCTTGGTGATTTAAACATCCTTGATGTAGACATTCACTCTTCCAGGTGAATGGATTCCTTGAAGATTAGATAGAAACTCCTACTTATTTCTCCTGAATATTAACCACCTGAATGTTTCCCTAACCTAACAAGCTGTTCTAACCTAACCCCATCCAGGTAGTGTTAGGGTGTTTTATTGTCAGGTGAAATAAGCTTGGGTGTCTCACCATCAGGTGATCCCTTTGTAATCTATGCTGTCATGTTTTCTTTTCTTTGTCAATAAATACAACAAAGCAGTTCAACCCATAAACATTCCAGTCAATGTAAAAATCCACACAATGTCATCCTTTTGTGAACCCACACTGCTTTACCCATAATACTCTTTATTAATACTTTTTCTTTAAAGATGTGTGAAGTGTATGTAACACCCTTAAGAAATTTTCTTGTTAATGCATAAACTATCCATGGAAATGTATGGCATTTGTTTTTTGAATACTGTATTAAAAAGAGACCCCAAAATGTTGGTCTGTAATACTCCCAAGATTTTTTTCTCTCACAAATATTTAAAATCAATATTTATATCCCAATAATGCATTGTACTTGATGATATAACTGCAGGTTGTCGATTAGCATCCATGCACGGGTACTTATGGTGGAGTCTGGCAATGGTTGTGTTGTCATTGTGTACCAAGCTCAATTTTTAATGTGTTTGGATGTTTAGAGTCCACAGACAAAGAATTTTCCTTGTAGCTGACGATGTAGGAATGTACCGGGGTGCCTGACTGACTGATTGCTTTAGAATGCAAAAATAGCATTCAAGATATGCATAATATACACTAACATTAATGAAATTTCTATTGAGATTACTGCGATTACAGTATTCTTTTATTCAAATAGAAGAAGGCTTGTAAATGGCACGAAGGTAGCCATAATGATGAAAATTTTTTACTAAATCTGCCTATTGCTCATAAGGTATCATATTCCCAATTAGGAGAGAAATTTTTAAATTGTTCACTTGGAAAATAACCAACCAGGGAGACATTTTATAACGGTTCCTCTCTATAAATGTACTGTACCATATTTTTAAGTCACTCATGTGGACAGAGGAAATAATTTGGTCACAGCAGTCAAGGGTTGAGTGCCCAGAATTCCTTCATATTGATGTTTAAACTTTTGCTTATAACTTGTGATGGACCAACTGGGGGAGGTACACATGAGTGTGTCCTTTGACAGTTGACATAATTGACAGATAACTCATAATCAAGCAAGCTAGTGTCATTGATTCAGCATACATTTAGAGAGTTGTAAGTTGTGTGAGGATGGTAAGATGTGAGAGGAGAGGTCAGGGATCAATAAATCAGAAGGTCCAGGGATGGAGGAGGTGGTTGAGGGTCCTCTTGAAACTCAAAAATCAACTACCGGGTAAACATGATAGTGAAAGAGACCCAACACCAGAAAACTGCAATTTCAAATACATTTATATATTTTCCTATTGCAGAAATACAGTATAAATGAAAAACTTCGAAACAAGAGGTGCATATAACACATTTGATTATTCAAGAATGTGTGTTATTCACATTGAACAGTATTGTACGTATTAGGTTAAGTTCCAGTTTGATCTCGTGAAATTAGACTACAGGTACTTTTCTATTTTTATGCTGATAAGCTGTTGTGAAAATGTCATTGTACATGTGCACATATGACTTCATGCATATACTGTACAGTACAGTATGTACATTGAGAAAATGAAGTACGGTATTGTCCCAGCTTTGGGTTGATGTATAATGAAACCTGACTACCCAATATAGTGAATGGGTGTCAGTGGCAACCCCTTTCCAAGATTCTACAGGCCTGCCAACTGTTTATGGGCTCCACACATGTGTATGTCAAATAGCTCAACCTATCTGCGATGTACTCGTCAAAACCCCAGGAAAATGCTTCATTCTCTCACTGTACATACAATAATAAAGTTATATATGTCTCTGGATTCAAGCTCGCCAATTTGTCGTGCAGACAAATGTAATAAAATACTTTTTCACACATAGGGTGGAAGACTTATGGAACAGTTTACCAGATGAAGACCTGGAAACAAAAACAGTACAGTACAGGGCTTCTAAATAGCCCTGGGAAAGACTAGCAACATCTATAAGAGGATCCCATACAAGCCATTGGCCTCCATTCATTATCATGGCCACCTTAAATTTTTTAGCCATTCCAAATTAGGTAATTACTTTGGTAAAAAAATATGAGTACTTTTACTTTTATGTATAGTGATTAATATAGCAACCGGAAGAGAAATCATCCATTGGCTGCAAAGCTCTAAGGGCATAAGAATTACATATTCCTTCTTGGAACTTGGCCATACACATGAAATCGTCATGTGTACCCGTGACAACGGCATACCACAGGGCAGCGGATTGGGCCCACTGTTGTTTGTTTGCTTCATAGATGACAAGCCAGAAGCTATACACTCCTCCATACGAATGTTTGTGGACAATGCCAAGATATTAAGGAAAATTAAGAACCAAGAAGACTGTGAAGAGATGCAGAAAGATCTCTGTGAACTTCAAGAATGGTTGAAGAAATGGCTGCTGAGATTCAACGTCACATAGTGTAAGAGGCTGCAACCGGGACTTACCAACGGTAAGGAGGTGTATCATATGTCCCAACGGGACGAAGAAAGTGTATTAATTGAGACCGAATACAAAAAGGACCTGGGCGTGTATGTTGACAATGAACTGAAGTTCTCGGGCCATTGTGAGAAGGTGAAACAAGCAACTAAATTATTAGGTCTTATAAGAAGGTCGTTCAGATATTTAGACAGTCCGTCCCTCGTAACGATCTTCAAGAGTGAGGTGCTTCCCCGCCTGGAGTACTGTCACCCTGCCTGGTCCCAGAGAAATGCTAGGGACTGTCAGTTGATTGAAAATGTCCAAAGGAGGGCCACCAGACTGGTGCCTGTACTTCAGCACCTCAGCTACCCTGAGAGATTAGAGTGCCTGTAATTGCCGAGCATATATGGTACTACAGACGGGCAAGGGGGGACCTAATTGAGGTGTATAAACATCATAAAGGGCACTACTCAGTCGAGTGTCCATTCCTGGAGCTGGTGGATGCTCACCCCACAAGGGTCACATCTCAAGGTTGAAGAAGCCGCAAGACCAGAAAACTGTGAGGGGTAACTGTCTTGAAGGCAGTGCTAATTAATGAACAAATATAATTGTCTCAAAATAATTCTAATAATATCACATTTTTGTGTTTCTTTTGAAGTCAACCAAGAAGTATAACCATAAGTTTTTATTACAGGAAATATTATATGAACCATAGAGAATTTGAGACCAACTTATGCAGCTCAGTCATATAACATGGGCTGTGGATATAATTATTTGTCCAGCTGTTGGTTAGGTATGTGTTTTAGACTAACACCAGAAGGAGTCAATAGAATTGGACGAAACTTTGTGGAAATGTTACTTACAATATTAAATGGAAACGAGAATGCACAGTACCTATGAAAACTTGACCTAACTTAAAGTAACCTACCTAACACACCTGAAAAACCTTTTAAAACATACCTAACAACACTGAATGGATTCTCATTTTATTTTATCAATTAATAGATTATAATTATCGTTTCCACAAAGATTCGACCAATTCTATGAACTTCTAGTGTTAGTCTTAAAAAAATGCATAACTGACAACTGAACAAATATCCACAGTTTATATCATATCCAAGAGGTATAATCAAGTTGGCTATAATAAGACTGCAATATCCTGCCATCTCGTGGGGGTAAAGATCTGATGTAGGTAGCTAGCCAAAGTTACTGGAAGTTGAACTGTCTTACTACTCTAAAGTCTAAACCTAATGATGTGTGTACTCTGCGGCATCCAGACAAAAGCCCCCTGGACAGAAAAAAAGCCCCCTGGACAGAAAAAAAGCCCCCTCGGACAGAAAAAAAGCCCCCTCGGACAGAAAAAAAGCCCCCTGGACAAAATCCCCTCAGTGAAAGTACAAAGTAGGACAAAAGCCCCTCATTTACAGTGCAAAATAGGTTATAATTATTAGGTTCGGTATTGCAGTCTTATGAAATAATAATTATAATATTTTACATGTCGGAGAAGTGTTCATAAACGGTAAATAATAAAGACTAAAATTAATTATTTAAACTATTATTTGTCCTTCGGGTCTTTTGTCCTTTACTCGTATCTGCTGATTTTCGAAAAAGTACAGAAAATACAAATGTTGAATACCCCATAAAATTAAGTTAACGACTAGACGGTGGTCACTAGAGGCCCCGCTACTGTGTTTTTTTTAATAAGGTTTATGTCATAAGCTTCGTCATTGCTCTTTTGGGGTGGTAAAATTTTGTTTTGTCTCGTCATAGCGTATATGATAACCCATTATTATTCTTACATGGCAAAACAAATGTGATTTATTATGGAAAATTTCTGGTTAATTGTAATATTTGATAGTGTACCAGTTTATACTGTATAACAGTGTTTAAATGACCCGCCACGAAATGTTTTGGTCTGGCACGTGACCCTCGCGCCTCCCCCACAGCTCCTCCGAATCCCTGGCTCAAGACTGACTTATATACAACAATGATATCCCAGACTTATAAACTTCAATTGGATAATTTTACTCAATTTATGTAGCTCATAATTACTTTTAAGTCTATTAAATTTGTTTAATAAGTATGGGATGCATACTTTATATTACAAATAAATAATATTTTACGCAATCGAACATATGATATGTTTTGATACGATGTGACGTCACTGAGCAGCTGACGAAGGAAAACAGATCGTATGGAGAGGTTGTGCTTCTCCAGCTTAGTCGCAGTAGAGAATTTAGTGGATTTTGACCGTTAGATCACCATGGCTGTACATTGATGTAAGTTTTTATTGACTTACGTGTGTATATGTCTGGGTTTTGTCGCAATTTTTCTAATTGGCGTGCACTTTAGGATGCTAAATACACATATTTACTTGACATTTTGGCTTGACAACAAAGACCTGAGAGGAAGTTTGTCGTGACGCAGGCAGTGTTGCTGTATTTCATTTCTATTTGTACAAAATAATATTCGATAGTGATTGGAAATAGAGAATTAACTTGCCTAAAGACCATAGTCCTTTGATTAATTATACGAGGTTAGTAATTAAGTGTTGAAGAGAGTGATAATAGCAGTTACATATTAATAGATGGGACCAATGGCCAGTAGTGTATTTGTAGTGAGTGGCGGTGGAAAAAAGGCAATTAATTGAAGTTAATAACTGACAGAAGCCGGACAATGTGTGTGTTATAGATTTTGTTACTATTTCTCCTTATTCAAAGGTATGGAATTTAATTTTGATGATTCAAGAATGTGTTGAGCATTAGATAATTACTTGATGTTGAATCTTTAGTTACACTATTTCTAATATTTATATATATATATATATATATATATATATATATATATATATATATATATATATATATATATATATATATATATATATACCGACTTCAATATACAAACAATACCTCACTAGTCAGGAATCAAACCTAGAACCTCAGAGTGTGAACAGGGATCGCTACTATGGCAACAAAAGGTATTGTTTGTATATTGAAATCCGTGTTTACAGTATATGGATTGTTGAGATATATTGGTAGCCTCATACTTCTACCTGGAGGCTGTAAAATGACCACTATGAACACAGATCTGGCACGGGCAATCCCTGGTGGAGGCTCATGTTGCTTAAGAATAAGACGAATGAGCAGACTGTGTGTAAAATACAGTAACGTCTAGAATTTCTTTTGTTGCCCTTGCTGTGCTGGTGTTTTTGGTGTTAGAATGCCACCTATACCATAGCAACAGAGTTAGCGCAGCTTAAACAAATGCTGGCACTGTACTAACAACGGAGTTAGGCCAGTATAGAATTTACACTTGCTTTTATTTTCTATAAAATTATCATATGGAATTGTTACATTTTATTTCATTCAACTTATCCTGAGCTCCATCTTTTTCCGTACACAGCATTTTTATCTCATTATAGAGGATTTCATGCTCTTTGTCTATCATGGGACTACTTCTTGTACCTGAATCAACTTTATTTGTCACATTAAGGGTAACAGGAATTGGTGTTATTCCAGAATCAACCAGGGGGTTAGGGGTGTCACCAACTGTTGCTGTCTCCTCACCTTCTGGCAGTACAGGTTCAGGCCTGATTTGGTCTGCAGCTAAAGATTCTAGTTTACACACATCAGAGATAATTTCTTCTGACTTAACATTCTGGAGCTCCTTGAATAGTTTTCTCTTTCGTTTGTGGGACAATTCAAACAATATAATTTTTTGTTCCCCCTTCCTGTCACTTTTGCTTGAAAAAACAAATACTGTCAGGAATTAATCTGGATGCATAAGATCCTGTGATGAACAATGGGGCACCTTGAAGAAAAGCGGAGCAAATTTAATCATCTCTCCACCAGCTTGCCCAATAATATAATAAAGGCTGGCAGAACTTGGCCATCTCATGTATGGGACTGTTATTATTTCTGTTTAGGCCTCTAGTCTAAGACTAAAATGCATTCAGGATAAGCTCAATATGTGGGAGATTTTACCAAGTTGTTATCAGTTAAATAGACAAAGTGCTTATTGCATAGATGTACAGTACACCATGCTCTTAAAATTCGTGGGGGTTAGGTTTTCAAAATGGCCGCGAATAACATTGGCTGACCAGGGGGGAGGGGTACATTTTACTTGTGTGCAAAGAAATATACTGTATATTCCCTTTATGTGTTTGCCCTTAGGACAATTATTTCTTTTACCTGTATTGTTTATATGTGTGTGTGTTGACTTAAGTCGAGAAAGTCGAAATAATAAAGACTTAAGTCGAGAAAGTCGAAATAATAAAGAGACTTGAGAGCAGCATGAGGTATGCGGCATGTACTGGGGCATATGGGATGAACGAATCAACAATTCGCTACAGATTAATTATCATCATTCACCCATCATCATTATTCATCATCATCTGCTGCAGTGTACTGTACCAAGGGGAGAGTTGGGAGGGAGGATGGAACATAACTGGGCTGGTGAGTACAGTATTCCATATGCATTGTATTTTGTTAGGTATGTAATATATAAAATAAGTTTTACTTTTATTTGTGTCTTTATACGTTACCTTTATGTGTTATTTAATGATATGTGAGAGGGAGAGAGGTTTACAGATCATTAGAAACTCGTTTATGGTCATACAAGTGATCGGGGATCGGTTATAGGTTATAATATTGACTATTACATGGTAAATGAAATTTCAGGAAAGAGTATTAACCCTTAGGCCCCGGTTGATGTTCCAGAACGTCCGCCTATTCACGCCAATTTTTTTATTATTATTATTATTTTTGGAAAAAGATTTTTTCTTGATTTATCCACGTGGGGGTACTGCCAGCAGCACCCTAACCCTGGGCTTAAGGGTTAAAGACTTTGCTCCTTCATGGTAATATCAGGAACATAACTCCTGCAAAAAATGAGGGACCACTGTACTGGGGACACGTGGTAATAGCTCGGTGATTATGATCTCTTTATATTCATTTTTTCTCTCTTTGGATTATATTTTTGAAAAGCTTAAGTTTCCTTCAGAAAGTGGCTGAAACTAATTGCACTAAATACACTAATATATATATGTATATATATATATATATATATATATATATATATATATATATATATATATATATATATATATATATATATATATATATATATATATATATATATATATATATATATATATATATATATATATATATATATATATATATATATATATATATATATATATATATATATATATATATATATATATATATATATATATATATATTACTTTATACAAATAATGTTAATCTTAAAAAAATGATACCACACCATAAATCTTTGTTTAATTGTTGATATAGAACATATTCAATTTTGTTTATTGTATTTGAGGCAGGTGTTACTGCCTTATGGAGTATTAGTCTGTGCTGATGATTTTGGTTGTGGATAATGCAGTTTCCAGTTCAGTGTCACAAACAATATAGTAATGTTAGCTAAGAGGTTTTCATCAAGAGGTTTGCCAAGATGATTTTCACAAGTTTTTATATTAATAACTCGCTTGATGTTTGAGAAGTTTAATATAAACAGGAATTCAAAGTTTTTCTGTCTTCAGAATAAAATTTTGGATCTCATGAAGATATGAACCCCTGCTTATTTCACCTAATGATTAAACACCTTAATACTAACCTGACTTAACCTAATCTAACCCAACCTAATTCCCCATTTAGCATTAGGGTGTGCATTCACCAAAAAGCAGAAATAGTTTTCTCCAATAAGATTCCCAGGCTAACAACACGAAACTTCCTTTAATAAAATATTCTCTGGCAAGCTTTACTTAATCTAACATAAAAAGAAATACAGGTCTATCAGGAGATAAGGATTAATTTTAGATCTTCTTTTTCTGCAGGGTGAAGGAAAGGTTTCCATTTTATCATAACCACTTTCCAGTCTTGGCTCACAACTGTGTGTGTGTGCTGTGACATTGACCTTGACATCTACCTGTAACACTTGGCCCAGTTGTGTCAGCATTTGCATTATATTTCTTTATATTAAGGTCACTGATAGGGAGAAGTGTAATCTAACCTAATTATATGATGATGCAGTGAATGTGGATATAGTATTAGTAACATTCTTATGCCTGCAAATTGTTTTTAATTATTGTTTGTGTTGGTACCTAAGCTAAAATTACTGGCAGTGGGGTATGCTATAACGAATCTAATTGGTTCTAGAACCTTGTTCGTTGTAGCATTCGTTCGTTATAGGATTAATCCGTTCCAGGCCCCCAAATACAACCACTTAACACTGAAAAATATATAATATAAAATTGTAAAAATTGTAAAAAAGTGCATAAATATGCATCTAAACCCCTGAAATAAAGAATATCATTAATACTTGTAATAAAAAAACCAATCAATTAGTAAAAAAAACCCAAAAGAATAATGTTCGTTGTAGGAGTTTCAATCGTTATAGCATTCTCAATTTTATAGGTAAAACCGTTCGTTATAGGAATATTCGTATTAGAATCCATTCGTTATAGCATTCTTAGATTCAAGGGAAATTTAAAAAAAATTGGGAAATGCCCGTAACAATTTGGGACATGGCCAAGTGCATGCAGAGTTTGCCAGAGCTCTAATTTCACACTCCAGTGTTGCTACAGCAAGCATGAAAGCATACATTCCTTTATTGCATTGAGGACCACACCAAACCTAACCTTATATAGCCTAACGAAGCAAGTGACACTTTGATCATGATAAGACTTAATTGTCCAGCTGAATGTAGGAAGCAAAGTCCAAAGTGGCAATTAATGGTAATATCTTAACATAATCAAAGGTTACCTTATCATGTCTTACATATATGTTATACAATACCTTTTATTTTGAGAAAAATTGACTTCACAAGATAACCAATTTGAGTTTATGGCCCCAAAATTATCAATTTTAATATACTTTAGTCTATTTTTCTCTTTTATGACAGGACATTAATAGTTGTGTCCTTATGGTTGAGCTCTCATCAGGCTCCCTGGACGAGAGGTCATTTACTCCTGCACTGATATCCACACAGGAAGAATTTAACTTTGTATCATTCATGATTTAGTTGACACATCAGTTGTTGTATTAGTTGACACATCAGTTGTTGTATTAGTTGACACATCAGTTGTTGTATTAGTTGACACATCAGTTGTTGTGTTAGTTGACACATCAGTTGTTGCATTAGTTGACACATCAGTTGTTGTATTAGTTGACACATCAGTTGTTGTATTAGTTGACACATCAGTTGTTGCATTAGTTGACACATCAGTTGTTGTATTACTGTAGTTGACACATCAGTTGTTGTATTAGTTGACACATCAGTTGTTGTATTAGTTGACACATTAGTTGTTGCATTAGTTGACACATCAGTTGTTGTATTAGTTGACACATCAGTTGTTGTATTAGTTGACACATCAGTTGTTGCATTACTGTAGTTGACACATCAGTTGTTGTATTACTGTAGTTGACACATCAGTTGTTGTATTAGTTGACACATCAGTTGTTGCATTAGTTGACACATTAGTTGTTGCATTAGTTGACACATCAGTTGTTGTGACACATCAGTTGTTGTATTAGTTGACACATCAGTTGTTGTATTAGTTGACACATCAGTTGTTGTATTAGTTGACACATCAGTTGTTGTATTACTGTAGTTGACACATCAGTTGTTGTATTAGTTGACACATCAGTTGTTGTATTACTGTAGTTGACACATCAGTTGTTGCATTAGTTGACACATCAGTTGTTGCATTAGTTGACACATCAGTTGTTGTATTAGTTGACACATCAGTTGTTGTATTAGTTGACACATCAGTTGTTGTATTAGTTGACACATCAGTTGTTGTATTACTGTAGTTGACACATCAGTTGTTGTATTAGTTGACACATCAGTTGTTGTATTAGTTGACACATCAGTTGTTGTATTAGTTGACACATCAGTTCAGTTGTTGTATTAGTTGACACATCAGTTGTTGCATTAGTTGACACATCAGTTGTTGTATTAGTTGACACATCAGTTGTTGTATTACTGTAGTTGACACAACAGTTGTTGCATTACTGTAGTTGACACATCAGTTGTTGCATTAGTTGACACATCAGTTGTTGTATTAGTTGACACATCAGTTGTTGTATTAGTTGACACATCAGTTGTTGTATTAGTTGACACATCAGTTGTTGTATTACTGTAGTTGACACATCAGTTGTTGTATTAGTTGACACATCAGTTGTTGTATTAGTTGACACATCAGTTGTTGTATTAGTTGACACATCAGTTGTTGTATTAGTTGACACAACAGTTGTTGCATTACTGTAGTTGACACATTAGTTGTTGCATTAATTGACACATCAGTTGTTGTATTAGTTGACATGTCAGTTACTGCATTAATTGGCATATTTTATACAGATGACACCATATTTGTCATACAGTATTACAAGACATTTACTCCAATATAAACAGTTGTTGTGTTTTGTGGACCAGGAGGATTAAGACATGTATCATAAGCAGTCAATAGTGTAGCATAAGAGCCGCCCTTAACACACGTTCCCACAGGATGGCACATAGGTTAGGTCGTGTGTTTATAACTTTGGGCAAACATAATTGCTACACTGTTAGTCATACTAACTGTCCTTCCCTGTAGGCAGGCTCCCTGGTGTGCCTTGTGCTTGGTGGCACTGACTCTATCCACATATATTGTGTGACCATTCACAATGCACAAAGAAGGCTTATGAGGTTTGGAAAAGGTCTAGTGATTGGATAATGAAATAAATGTGCATTATGGATGAGCTTTATCTGAAAAAACTAACTCCGTTTAAGCTGGGTTTGCGTTGGGTGAAGACCTGACTGTAGTTCATGGGGTAACGGTGGTGTCTGCAATGGCTGTCATTTCGTAAGTACAATAAGTGTTAATCCTGGTGAAAGTTTGAGTGTATAAGTGAGGCAGTCCTTCCACAGTGATAGCCAAGTGTTGGGATACAACATATAATAAAATATTTCCTCTGTGTCTTAATGAATTAAGAATAAGTTGCCTTTCTCCTTTTAACTTCCCTTGACCAATGCTTCATAAAAATAACTAAGTGGAATTTCCCCACAACTGATAGACAAGTGACAATATTTTTGTCTCTTATTCCCCATGAAGTCAGAAGAGTGAGTGAGGTTACTAGCATTATAGTATTGTACTGTATATACTTTCAATAATTGATGATACACTTTATTCACTAATATAATTAAGTTAAATTAATCAGGTAATTAATCAAGACCCATTAACACCATTAAAGTAGTGATGGGAGATAATGGTACATATTATCAGTAATAGTCTCAACAAAATCATGTTTTATGGAACTTTGGCACAGGGGACCATGAGATGCAATATATTTCATTGTTTGGCAGAGGAAGAAAGGCTGGATAAATATATTGCTGATAGAAAAGATATATACTGTACAGTAGAGTATATTAGATATAGAAAGCTGACTTATAAGGTTACTGAGGGAAGGACTTACCTAGGTGTTATGTCAGCAATTGTTCAGGGATATGACTACATATTACTACTGGGAAAGGAGCTGCTTTTACAACCATAAGGACTGATAGAATTAGGGTAAATTCTTTGACAATGTGTAGATGCCAAGGTATATGCAAAATTATGATTAGAAATGAGCTGGCATATTTAAAAGAGGATGAAGCTGTAGCATATGAGCCAAGCTGCTTCTATTCCTAAAATTGATCTTTGTGGCAGGAATTGTAGAAAGGCCGGTGCACTGATAAAGTACTCTGTTTGCCAAGTTTCGAGCCAGCACTTTGTCACTTAGTAAGTTCAGTGACCTGTGGGGGATGTTAATAGTTTCAAGCACATTTCTAAAAAGTCTCATAGTGTATATATATATATATATATATATATATAATATATATATATATATATATATATATATATATATATATATATATATATATATATATATATATATATATATATATATATATATATATATATATATATATATATATATATATATATATATATCTATCTAGACTTCCTTACACCAACACTTTATGAGGAAAAAGCATTGTGTTTTGCCAAGAAGTGATGTGTAGCAGACTTTGACGCATGACACCATCAAGCACAGCTTTGGCCATCTTGGCTTACAGCCAAATTGAGCTGCCAAGCACCACCTGCTAGACTGGCAATTTGACAGTTGATGTCATATTTAGAGAAAGTGCTTCCAAGCCCTTTGTTTTGTTTGTATTATGAGACATGAAATCCAAAGTGTGTGAATATGTTTAAGTGTATGCAAAAAGCCCGAGTGTATGAAGTGTGCGAGTGTGTTAGGTGTATGCATTGTGTGAGTGTGTTCAGTGTGTACATTTAGGGTGTGAGAGTGTGTCTTAACAGCATTTGTTAAAATTATTTTTGTCACTTTGTGTGTTGTCATTGTTTATCACCATATACTACTCCTACAACTACTTGATTGGCTATTCCTGCTCTTCAATTTCTTTAGCCTGTACCTTTGAGTCCTCAAAAGCTTTGGGCAGGGTTGGGTGTTATGCCTGTTTAGTCATTGTCAAGTTTCAGTCCTTTTTTAGAAACTATTAACAGATTTCAGATAAAGCTTGGAAATTTGTGAGGGTCTACATCCTACTGTTCCTACTTTTGGTTGTCAGCTTATCTATGACATAATCCTGGTGCAGCACAGGTATAAATTTTAATCTAATAAACCAACCTAATTTGATCCACAATGACTGTCATGTTGTATGGTATTTGGATATTGTGGTATATTTTTAAAGTAAAATAGTATTTATCATTAGTTAGATTTTTTCAGGAAGTAATTTTATCTTTTTGTGGTATACCATATTTTATGGCATATAAGACCCCCCCCCATTTCAACAGGGAATATTTGGGAAAAACTTTTTTGTGTATTTACCTATTTAGCCAAAAAAAAAAAGTATTCCAGTTAATAATACCAATAAATAAGTTAAAAAAAAATTTTTTTTTTTGCGGGGGTTAGCCCACCCAGGCACAGGTCACCAACCCACATTGGGGCCTTGTGGGGGGCGGGGGATAAAATAAATGTAGGAATGGAAAAAATTAATTAAGGAAATCAAGAGTGAGAAATGATATATGTATGTTGTGTTATCAAAGTAAGAGAAACAATTGAGACCCTGCAACTGTGTTTAATAAATGAGGCAGAAAGTCAGATCAGCAACCTGGGACTTGGTCACCATTTTTGTAATGCCATATGGCAACAGGGTCTACCATTAGACAACACGTTATGCTTTGGCTGCTGGACCACAATATTTATTAATCTCGACACTACACGTGGTAGACAGCTCAGAACAGCTGAGATCCATCACTCCCTTCTTATCTTAACACACAAAGAAAGTTTATTCCTTTTTATGTTTTTAACCTAATGACAATTATTTATACAGTAGTACCCCACTTAATGCAGTCAATAAAACCCACAGGGTACCGTGTTAAGTGAAAACCGCGCTAAGTGAACAACATAACATATGGGATTAATTCCAATAGAAACTGGCCCGACCCCCAAACTCCACTTTTTGACGACACATAACTATGTTGTAGTAGAAATTTTATCTTAACTTTATGATGGTATGAAAAAACAAGTAATATAGAAGAGGTTAGGTTAGGAAAAATAAAGGTTAAGTTAGGAAAACTAAAAGTTATGTTGAACACTTACGTTAGTAGAAGAGATGGGTCGGCGTACGGGGATGGAGGCTGGTTCCGAGGCAGAGGGCAGGCTACTGGCCCTCAGGTGAGTCATCATCACTGTCACCCACACTTGTTATGGCCTCCCTGACAAATCCCTCAAAGTCATCTTCACTGTCTCTACCTCTGTCACTATCACTGGCTTGGGCTGGCTGTGGTGGGTTGCGGGCGAAGAACTCGGTTATGCTTTTTTGACGGCTGGTGTTTATGTTGTCTTGATTCACCGTGATGTACGGCTCCATAGCCTGCACCAGCCGGGTATGGAAGACTTCTTAGCGGTCATCGTCATTGTTGCGGGAAAGGAAGGACTTCATTTTCTCTGCACACTCCATGGCACCCTTAATATCACTATGACTTAAACTGTGTTCTTCGGAGAATGACGCACCTTCTTCCTCCTCTTCACTGACGTGATCTTCTTCCAACATCTCGTCGGCAGTCACTTCAGGATCTCTGATCACCTCCAGGATGTCTTCGTTGGTGGTCTCGGAGAAGCCTTCAGCTGTAATATTGAGCGCAGCTTCTCTGGCAAGGTCCACTGCTACTGCAACAGTCTGAACCTCACCAGTCACAGGTTCACTCCTTCTCTCACCTGGTATGCCATGCAACACATGTCTCCATGCGTGACGAATTGTAGCAATAGGCAGCTGATCCCATGACTCCACCAAGAAGTTTACAGCTTGTTTGACGTTAAACTTCTTCCAAAATTGTTTGACGAGAACTTCTTGAGTCGCCACCTCTTGTTCCTTGTCCTCGTCGCTTTTACTCTCGCTGTCGGTGTCACCCAGCTTACGCAACTCATCCTTGGTGTTGGTAGAGTCGTTCAGGAGCTTGAACTTCTTTGCAGAGTACGCAGCTTTCACATTGCAGATCAACTCCTGGTCCATGGGCTGGATTAATGACGTAGTGTTGGGAGGAAGGAAGACCACTTTTACGTTGGGGTGACGATCCATAAGTAGGGGCGAGTGTCCAGGTGCGTTGTCAAGGAGCAACAAAATGCTGAATGGAACATTCTGTTGCTTGCATAATTTCTGCACGTCAGGAACAAAACAGTCGTCAAACCAGAAGAGGGACAGAGAAGAGGACATCCACGCCTTACGTGCGGTTAGCCAGTGGACATTAAGCTTGTTCATGTCCATATTCTTGTAGGCGTGCGGCTTGCGGGCTGTGTGAATCACCGATAACTTTGGTTTACAGGTACCGGATGCATTGGTGGTAAACAGGACGGTGATGCATTCCTTCTGCATCTTCCGGCCCCGAATCTTGCTGGCATTCTTTACAACGAAGGTCTTGGACGGTAGCTTTTTCCAGAAAAGACCAGATTCGTCCATGTTAAACACCTGGTCGTCGGTGTACTGTCCTTCCTCCATAATCTCACGTAAGAACGGAGGAAAATCTCTAGCCGCCACACGGTCAGCACTTGCTTCCTCACCACCAATGTTGATGTTGGTGATCTTGTTCCTCTTCTTAAACCTATGCAGCCAACCAGAGGAAGCATTGAAGGGTTTGGGCTCTGCAATTCCCAGCTTGCGTGACACTGCTGTGTATAGCTCACGTGCGTACTCCTGCACTGAGCGCGTGTCCACCGCCATGTTGCGTCGCGCCTGACGAATCAAATAACTCACCAGCAAATTTTCCACTTTTGCCAGCACCCTGTTCTGACAATACCTGATCGTTAAAGCACCTGCCGACTTTGTGATTTTCATGTGCTCTTTGATCTTGGCTGCATCCTTCTTGATAGTGCGAATCGTAGATTCGTTGATGCCATGCTGGCGCGCGAGATCAACTTGCCGTGTTCCTTTCTCCAAATCTTGAATGATCTGGTACTTCACTTCGTAGCTTAGACCACGGTGTGTCTTCTTGGGCTTAGGGTGGCTGGGTCCAGGTAAGGAAAGGTCTCTCTCTGGTGGCGGTGGTGGTCCGGCGGAAGCCATTTCACAGAACAATGGGTTCACGTATACACGGAGTGGCCTGGAGAGATGAAACTGCCGCGGCTAGGTCAAGCGTCGTCTTTCCTCCCTCCCTCCCTCCCCCGGGTGGACACGTCATAATACTTTAAGCCAATTACAGCTAGCAGCAGAGGGGGGTTAGGGATGCATGGCCAATCACAGTCCGATACGGCATATGACGTCAGTGATAACGCAACAGAGACATGCACTGCGCAACCTTACATCGCGGCTTGCCCAAGCGGAGGGAGGAGGCGGGAGCAGGCGGGTGGGGCGAATCTAAAAATAGTGTCTCGAGCCGGACACTCGCCGCGTATACGTGGAAAAACCCCGCGTTAAGTGAAAGTTCGGCTCTGGCGAGGCACCGCGTATACGGTAAAACGCGCTAAGCGAAACCGCGTTAAGCGGGGTATTACTGTATTATTTTTTTGGTACATTCCATATATAAGGTTGAGTGTGCATGTAACATAGAAAAAGAAAATGAAGAGAATTACTGTCTTTACCCAAAATTAGGAGTTGAAAAATAACAATACTGTAACATATATTACAGCTAGTTCTGGGGTGGTAGGGGGATGTGGCTTTAGTGATGAGTCTTGTGTTACTCCAAGTATTACAAATAGAAAATTAATATAAAATACTGAAAACCAAGTAAACAATTTTAAAAACGTCAGGCATATTATCACAGAAGTAAAGTAACGACCTACACGGTAAGTCAAAAGGCTGAAGCAAACTCACAACTCCCTGTACCTCTTTTTTCAGCATTCATAAACCATACTACAATACAATACCTACTTTCTTATGTTATCTAGAATTGAGATGAAAGATATGCAGCTAAAACCATTCAAGAAAAATCTTATGAAAGTTTTAACCCAATTGTTATTTGCCACTCCCTGTTTCGTAGCAGTGCAGACCAGTGGGGATTCTACCTCCGCCAACTCCTTAGCAAGGCCCTCCCCCCAACATACACACTCACACCCCGCCCTCCTCCCGCTGTGCCAGCTAACTCATACGCAAAGAAATGTTTATTCCCGAAGGCTGAAAATGTACATTGAACATAAATGGCTTATTACATACATTGACATTGGTGGTTTAACAAAAGCCTTCATTAGAGGAAGGTAAAGGAACATACAGTGAACTTATAGATTAATGTTTACAGTGGAGGTCATGTAGATCTTGTGCGTTGTGGTGTTGAACAGCAGACACGTAGTGTAGTAACTCCCTCACAGATGGTGTTATGAGGGGCCTGACGTGGTGTAGTAATTCCCTCACAGATGGTGTTATGAGGGGCCTGACGTGGTGTAGTAATTCCCTCACAGATGGTGTTATGAGGGACCTGACGTGGTGGAGTAATTTCCTCACATATGGTGTTATGAGGGGCCTGACGTGGTGTAGTAATTCCCTCACAGATGGTGTTATGAGGGGCCTGACGTGGTGTAGTAATTCCCTCACAGATGGTGTTATGAGGGACCTGTTGTGGTGGAGTAATTCTCTCACAGATGGTGTTATGAGGGGCCTGACATGGTGTAGTAATTCCCTCACAGATGGTGTTATGAGGGGCCTGATGTGGTGTAGTAATTCCCTCACAGATGGTGTTATGAGGACCTGATGTGGTGGAGTAATTCCCTCACAGGTGGTGTTATGAGGGACCTGATGTGGTGTAGTAATTCCCTCACAGAGGGTGTTATGAGGGGCCTGATGTGGTGGAGTAATTCCCTCACAGATGGTGTTATGGGGGGCCTTACATGATACTGTAGCAACTCATTCACTACGTGGTGTCGTAGCATCATGGGGACACTACGTGGTCTGGTGTCACAGGACCCCACTCAAGTGAGTGTGGTCCTAGGCCTCCCTATCGTGGATGGATTAATACATAGCTGGTGTTGTTGAGTCTCACTGGCAGTTATCACCGGGTACCTGGGACCTCACTTTGTGAAGGTTAGCTTGGGTATGACTTAGCTGTTACTATTGAGTTGTTTTTCACTGACTTAAGCACTGTCCACCACTATTCAACACTGGTTCCATTCCTTTCCTAAATGAAATAGTAATTTCTGGCGAGAACTTGTTGATATTCTGGTGGGGAGGAGGGGTTCAGGGGAGGGAGTTGGTATGGGCCAACATAACAGTTGACCTGGCTGCTGCCAGAGCAGCGCCAGGCACGTCTTGACCCTTTGGTGGTCAAGGATGGATGTGTTTGACCTTATGATAATTGTTTCTCTTGCTTTTTTTTTATTTGCATATTATATATGTAGGATTGGGTGTGCAAATAACTGAGTAAAAAAAAATATATTTCCATCTACTTGAAATTACGAGTTAAATAAAAATAACCATAACATATCTCCACCCTCTCCCTGATAACTCTGGCTGGTATACAACCAGTAATACCCCGATTTACGCGGGCAATTGAACCCGCGGAGGTCCGCGTAAAACGAGAAACGCGTAAGTGGAATAACAGAACATATGGGATTAATTGAAATAGGGACTGGGCAGACTCCCAAACTCCACTTTTTCCGACACAATACCTATGTTGTAGTAAAAATAACATCTTAATTTTATGATGGTATGCTCACACAATTAATATTTAAGAGAAATACAGTCGCCAGGTTAATGTCCATTCAAATAATGGACTCAATCCCCCCCCCCCTTCCCACGCTCGCTGGCTCCTCCCTCTCTGAGAAATGTTTGGGTGAAAACACTAGATTTTAAGATAAAGTAATAAATAATACCTCAGACTAAAGTTAGGATAATATAATTGACATTGCTGGATTCCTTGCAAGACCAGGAATATTTTTGATATACACGTCATATATTTTGCACAAGAGATAACATATTTGCTCTGTGTAAACAATTCTTACAGTAGATCTAAAATTTGTATGTCTAATGCAAAATCCATGATGTTTATATTCAAAATGATCATCATATTGTAAGAATTCCAGCAATGTAAATTATATTCTGGCCGGGTAATTTGTATGAATTTTATGAGCTAAATAAAAAAACTATACTTCACCCTCGTATATGAGTAGATGCACCGCGTAAAGTGGGAATTCCGGTTCTGGCGGGGTACCGCGTAAATGTAGAAACACGTAAACGAGAACTGCGTAAAGCGGGGTATTACTGCATATGTTTATTTCATTTTTTTTTTACCTTATGATAATTATTTTTTTTTTTCACGTTCTGTATTTAGGATTGTGTGTGCATGTAACTGAGTAAAAAAAAAAGAGAAGTTATGTATATCTACCCAAACGCAAAAAAAAAGAAGTTATGTATATCTACCCAAACGCAAAAAAAAAAGAAGTTATGTATACCTACCCAAACGCAAAATTAAGAGTTGAAAAATAACTATAACAGCTCACAGCTAGGCCTGGTAGCGTGGTGGTTACAGTGATGGATCGAACTTGGCTACAATGCCGCCAGTGATGCTAACAGACACAAATGTGAAAAGAAAGTTTGGTGTAAATCTTCATTTGTATCAAATATTTATAGATTTAAAGATAAATGTTGCAGGTATGACATTAATAGATAGTAACACTTGTAAAAATTCAGAATTGATTACTGCTTAGCTCCGGGTGTGTGCCGTACGGACACTAATCATCTCGTGTTATCTTCATTTGTACAATAGTTATAAATCCAGCTTTTATATTTACAATATTTTTTTTTTAATTAATTAAAAGTAGTACTGTAATAGTAATGTATTTAAGTAGGCAATAGCATATTTTTAAGTCTGGAGTTAGGCTTGGTATAATTTAGCCTACTGGAGAAAGCAACTGGGGGATTCATTAGCAACTTGTCATATAGGAAGCAGGCTGATATTTTTGCCATTTTTCAAACAAAATGTAAATAATGGTGTTAAGGTTTTGTTTTGCCTTAAAATGCCTTGGCTTAATCTTTGGCTTCTTGACTGGTTAAATGGCTGAGTTTGGCTTCAGCTTTGTGACTCCAGTGGCATCAACTTCAAAGCCGAGGCTTGGTTTCGACCCTATGTTTGATTTGTATAGTGTTTTTTTTTGTGTAGGAAGGTGTTGAAACACTGACATTAAAAAAAGATGTAACAGGAAGTCGGTAAAAACCAGATAATGAAATTTACAGGTACAGGTTGCCAACCCTTTATCCGAAATTCCGAAAACCGAAAAGCTCTAAAAACCGAAAGTTTTTATTTTATTTTTTTTTTTTTATATACACAAGGATTAGCCCACCCAGGCATAAATCACTGACTCACATCGGGGCCTGATGGGCGAAAATGTAATAGTAATAATAATTATAATAATAATAATTATTCATAGTAAATAAAAATTTTAATTAAAATACTGTACTGTACACCAAAATAAAATAATAATGATAACAATAATAATAATAGTAATAATAAAATATAATAATAAAATTAATAACAATAATAATGTAATAAAATAATAACAAAGAAATACAAGAATGAAAAAAAAGATCAAAAGTGAGAGCTGCGACTTAGACCTATGAATTATTATTACCTGTACATTATTATTATTATTATTATTATTATTATTATTATTATTATTATAATAATAATAATAATAATAATAATAATAATATTTTCGGCCCCCCCCCCCCCAATCCCAGGCCCCGATGTGGGTCAGTGATCTATGCCCAGGTGGGCTTTAAAAAAAAATAACCATTCTGAAAACCGAAAAATTCCGAAATCCGAAATGCTTCTGGCCCCAAGGATTTCGGATAAAGGATTGTCAACTTGTAAATATTTCCCCAAACAAATGTGGTTTATTAAAAAAAAAAAGTGCCAATCTTTGATTTATGAGGAAAATCCCCAAATTAAAAAAAAAATGTACCAATGAAAATAGATGAAATATTGTACAGGTAATGCATTTTTTCTCAACCAGTATGTTTATTTATTTCACTAACATACCTATTTCATTATTCTCTAGTACTAGTAATGCTATGAAGTCTACAAAAAAACTTTCAGTGTCATCGTTTTCCCACAATGAGATTCAATTTATGAGAGCCTTTTCAAGAACGAAACCCAGTCATAAATTAGGATCTGCCTGTACTTGGCCCCAACCTGAAAGGGGGGACGTGTAATTATTTGTGTTATCTTTGTCTTTATTTTTTAGAATAATGTCAGCTTTCTCATCTTTTTTTTCAGTAAAGTTCTCGTTAGCTGCAAGTGTCTTGGATCTTTTGGCAGAGAATGTTGTAGCAAGGAAGTGTTGACTGACGTCAGGAAAGACAAGGTTGCACTTGAAGTTTCCTTATTGTGAGAACCAAAGATGGGGGGAGCTGTGAGTGCTGGAGTGGACAATGATGACCTTGTTGATAACCTTAAAGCTGCCAACTACATCACTACTCCACTGCTTGAACGTGTGTTCAGAGCAGTGGATCGCGGGAACTACTTTACAGCAGAAAATCGTGAGCAAGCGTATCGAGACAACGCATGGAAAAAGGGGAATTTACATTTATCAGCCCCCTGCATATATGCAAAGGTAATTTTTTATTTTTTTTTGTTTCAAAACATTTTGCTGAGGCAATGTTACCTTTAACAGTATTCTTTAGGACATTCTATAAAATTTTTGATTACCAGTCGCTTATATACAGTATTTTTATTCAGATTTATTACTATACGTTCATTATCTTCCTGCTCCCAATCTTCACCTATGATCCCTATCCTAGCTTAACTCTCACCCATTAAGGGTACAGTATTTGATCCCCATCCATCAATCTTTACTCCTGATTACCATTTGTTTCACATTTGTATAAAGAAAAATGCAGGAATAATAATAAAATGATAAACAAGTACAGTACGTCTGGATAATTCGCAGATTTTTATTTCGTGGTCCTGTATTATTAGCGAATGACACCCTGGATGTACTCAAGAATGTCTAAGGGTAGTTTTAAAGTTGCTGGCATTTTCGTAACCAGGACAGGGAGCCATTTGTTCTAGAGACAGTAATTTCCTTTACCTATATATATATATATATATATATATATATATATATATATATATATATATATATATATATATATATATATATATATATATATATATATATATATATATATATATATATATATATACATACATACATACATACACATATACATACATACATACATACATACATACATACATACATACATACATACATACATACATACATACATACACATACATACATACATACATACATACATACATACATACATACATACATACATACATACATACATACATACATACATACATACATACATATATATATATATATATATATATATATATATATATATATATATATTTTAGGGGTCCGGGATTGACGGTTAATCCGAAAGTCGGTTAATCGAGGGTCAGTTAATCGAGGTTTTACTGTATGTAAAAAAACATTTGCCGAATGGCTATAAGTGAATGAAAATGTAAAAAAAAATTTTTAATCACAACAAAGATCTCTGTAATAAGACAAATATGGGTCAATGAAAAAATAAATAAATTAAAGTGTATACTGTATATGGTAGTTCTTGTTTCTTAGTTTATCTTTATGCTCTTCTGGTTGATGATACTTATAGTAGCTGGTTTTCCTTAATAGGTAATGGAAGGCCTACAGCTAGCCCCAGGGCATTCATTTCTCAACCTGGGCTCTGGCACGGGTTACCTCTCCACTATGGCAGGCCTCATTATAGGTGAGTACAAGTTCACTGGGTTCAGAGGTAATACAATGAATGATCTGACTTTTCTGCTGTGTGCATTTGATGTATCATTGTGTTTCTGTTTCCAGTATGGGGGTTATTGATGAAATGAATTTTTCATTGATTGTAATGCATGAAAAATATTGAGAAGATGGAAAGAAAAGTAAAAATTGGAAATGATAAAATCAATAGGAAATAGTAGAATAATTAGGAAATGAGAGGAAAATTAATTATAGAACAAGTAGGAACAACAGAGATTGTAGGAACTGAGGATTAGAAACAAGAAACACAAAAATGAATGGAAACAGAGGTAAGAAACAACACAAGATGATGAAGAAGTCATCTTGAAGAAAATTATAAGTTTTAATGTTGTATTTTGAAACCATGAAATATCAGGAAGGTTATGTAAGTATACAGTAAAGACATGTAGGTAATAATTTGGGGATCCCCTGAAGATTAGGCACCCCAGCTTATTTTGCCTGAAGATTAACCCCCCTAATGCTAACCTAACCCCCAGGTAGCATTAATGTGGTTAATCTTCAGGTGAACTAAACTGGGGTGCCTAATTTTCAAGTGATACTAATATGGTTGCATTCCATTTGATGCATAAATGTAGATTTGTAATTTGTTATATCTTTTCAAGGTCCGTACGGCATCAATCATGGAGTGGAGCTTCACGCAGATGTCGTTAAGTATGGACTTGAGAGGTTAGAAGAATTTAAGAGAGTTTCGCCAGCCATTGATGCTTTCACTTTCTGTGATCCTCAGTTTGTACAAGGTGGGTTTTCTCCTGAAATATTTGACAAATTTAAACATGTGGTTTACTTAAAGTCTCCAACCTCTGATTTTCTATTGGAGACAAAATAAAACAGGTCTAGGGAAATTTTACACGTTGAACTAGCCTTTTACATGATGTACTTTTGGAGACCTATAAGAAGCTTCTCATAAATTCTATCCTGAAAATCGTTTCATTGTATCCAAAGATCACTTTAGACAAAAGATCTATGTTAATTTTCCTGCACAAAGTGCAGATGAACTCACCCCTTACCCTACTGTTATAGTTGTTTTGGCTGGTGCTAACAAATGTTAACCTTTTTTGGCTTGTCATATTTCAAAAAACTCATCACCACATTAATTTTTAGCTGGCCTGCATAATTGTAAAAGTGTTGATATTGTACTGTACTGTACTCCTATTCCTGGTGGTGTAATGGCTATTGTTAACATCAACGTATGGTAATGTTTTACATTTAAAGTCTCATTTCATAAATGAAAAAGCCGTCACAGTTTAATAATTATTGGTTTGACTTAGTTTTCAAATTATTATTATTCTCAGTACAGTAAAACCTTGTTAAGGCAGATATCGCTTAAGCCAGACAAAATTATTTTCCTAAAAATAATTCAAAAATAAAAAAAAATGGTAGGACATAGTTTTTCCTCCAATGACATGTCTGCAAAATTTCAAGGGACCAAGGTGTCAGCACGTGGGTCACAGGTGCCCGAGAGTTATCAATTGTTTTGGGGTAATATTATCTCATTAACTCTAGTAATGATACAATGTTTCTTATTGTGTCATCATAGGTAAATGCATGGTTTATATAATTTGTTTATCACTGTGCCCATCATCATTTTAAAATTAGACAACAAGATATGTATTTCTCTCATACGTATTTCGATTGTACGCCTGGAACGGGAACCTTGGAGCGAGTGACCACTAGTTAGAGCGTCGTTTGCAGTTGTATCTCTCTTCCCTCACTGCCATATTTCACTGGATTTACAGTTATTATTAGTGTTTACTGATGTAGGAGTGCTTAATAGTGATGAATGATGGCAGTGTAGCCAGGTTAAATTTGCCACTGTAACCACCAGGCTCCTGGGCCAAGCTGTGGTGTTTTGGTTGTTTTCAACTCGTATTTTTGGGAAGATATACGTAACTTTCTTCATTTATTTTTACTCAGTTACATGCATACACCATCCTACTACGTACATACAGTACATATTGTGAAAAGAGTAAAAGAAATGTTTCAGTGTTAGTTCAGGATCATTGGAAGTTGCCTGATGACACCTCCTAAACATTTTCTTCATGTACAACTTCTTGAAGTTGCTGATCACATTCTGGTCCATTGGCTGTATGATTGATGTAGTGTTTGAAGGCAAAACAACACTTTCACAAAGTCAAGTTGATACTCCAAATTTCAGGCAAGGTCAGGGTCATGACCAGGAGCATTATCCATGAGGAGAAGAGCCTTTAAAGGGAGTTTATTGGTGGTTAGGTAGCTCTTGACAGAAGGGCAAAACACATCAACAGCCCATTCATTAAAGAGCTGTCTTGTCACCCATGCCTTACGATTGGACTTCCAATAAACTCCAAGCTTTGTTCTTACCACTTTCTGTTGCTTGAACACCCTGGGGTTTTCAGAGCGGTAGACAAGCATAGGCTTCAGTCGGAAATCCCCTGAAGCATTGGCACCAAGCAATAGAGTGAGACGGTCTTTCATGGGTTTATGCCCAGGTAAAGAGGCTTCATTTCTGGTGATGAATGTTCTTTTGGGCATCTTTTTCCAGAACAGCCCAGTTTCATCCACATTGAACACTTGCTGTGGAAGATAATTTTCTTCTTCCATCAGTTTTTTAAATTCATCTAAAATCTTTGCTGCCCCTTCCTTATCAGCACTAGCAGCTTCACCATGCCTAACAACACTGAAAATGTCACTTCTTTTCTTAAATTTTTCGAACCAGCCTTTGCTGGCCCGAAAATCTTCAAATTCTGTGCCTGAAGAACCAGGTTGATCTGTCTTTAAATGTTCGTAAATCTCCCTGGCTCTTTCACAAATGAATTCAGTAGAAACTGAATCACCTTTCATCTGTTTTTCCCTAATCCAGATGATAAGTAACCTCTCAGTTTCTGCAATTAGGGATCTACTTTTAAACACTCTTGTAGATTTGTCTCTCACTTTCACTTCTTTAAATTTGTCTTTCTGTGCAAGAATTGTCGACACAGTTGATGTCGACATGCCATATTCTTTGCATAGGGCATTTGTTCTAATGCCTTGTTCATGTTTTTTTATGATTTCCTGCTTGGTTTGGATTGAAATCACTTTTCTTGATCTCTTAGGCCCCATGCTGGATTCAAACAATGTCAACACATGCTTTTTAAAGTTAAACTTGTTGTAAATAAAGAATATTTTCTTTAGAATAACACTGCACTGCGCTATATATTGTCAATATGTAAAATAAATTTCAAAATGACCAATAATTTGCTTGGAAACACAGAAAAAAAGCGTTTAGTTGCAGAGAGTTTCAAGCAAAATGTTACTTCCAGTGAAAACAGAGAGAGAGTAACGCCTGTTTGCTGTGTTAGGAGGCTGGATGCTGCGCATTAAACTACGGTAGTCACTTTACCTTCAATTATGTTCAATAATTGTTAAAATGACTAAAAAATTGAATATTAAACTTTTAAAATTATTGAATAGTATAAACTTCTTGATATTTACTAAAATAGTAAGGAATTTAAGCCCTAGAACCGATTAATGTATTGGCGGACTAATACTACAGCTGGTTGACCGCCCAGTGCAAGCCAAAACTTGTTGAGGTCGGCTCGTAAGAAACTCGTTAACCGAGGGGTTGCTCGTTAACCGAATTTAAGAATCTTAATAATAATAATAATAATAATAATAAACGGTTTATTAATAGAGTTGCAGCCAGTGGCTGAAAATACACAGACTTACATTTGATTTAGAAATAATGATATAATATGCATTGAATACATTTACAGGGCTGTACAGTACATAAATCAGGAGTTGTTTATTATTTTAACAATAGCTGGGATGGTGCTGTTCTTATATCTATCGGTGCGGGCTCTTATGGGCTGAATTTTGTTGTAGTGGCGGACTGCGCGAGTTGGGTGGGGGGCGGCAGGAGGTGGCGATGGCGAGGGTGGTGCAGTAGTCCACGGCCAAACCTTTCCAGTGCTTGGTGGTGGAGGTCACTGAGGGATGGCATTTCCAGGGTGGAGAGAGCGTTGGTGTAGCCGGAGTATTCTGCGCCGAGCATGATTTTGCAGGCCCTTTTCTGTACCTTCTCTAGCTGACGTTGTTGGGTGGAGTTGAGAGAAGACGACCAGGCTGGTGACGCATACGTTAGTTTGGGGAGAATAAAGGCGTTGTAGATGGTCCTCAGCTCTGGCGTGGGTGTCCCAAGTGACCTAAGTCTTCGTAGCATGTAGAGACGGTACGAGGCTGCCTTGACTGTGTTATTTACATGGGCCTTCCAGTCAAGTTTGTTGTCTATAGTTACATCCAGGAGTTTGGCAGACTGCACCAGCTGGAGAGGATGGGCACCCACTGTGACTGCTGGGGCTTGCACTGGAGTGGTGGCGGTATTGATGTGCATGACTACGGTTTTGGTGTGGTTGATGGGAGGTAACTCGTTAACCGAGGCGCTCGTTAACAATTGGTGCAGAGCACTTCCGAGAATGAGAGATTTCCGGCCAACTAGATGATTTTCTCAAACCCAGAAAAAATTCGTTGTCCCCGGAATCTTTTCCAGTTACTGGGAAAAGTTTCCAGGTGTCCAAATTCGACATCTTGCATAGACACACACTAACCTACTTCCCCAGAACATCTCTGGGTGCTGGGGATGTTTTCCTTGAGTCTAAAGAACTAGAGTCCATAAATGCAGTTCTAATTATAAAACTCTACTTTCAAAACAGCTTATTTACCCTACAATACAATCTCATGGCCCTGGACACTTAAGGGGCCTGTGTACAGACATTTATAAATAGCTAGTCATAAACACATCAATTGGAAGCCTCCACTTATGTCTGGGTTCAATCTGTCAACTCGGCAGAGCTATAACTCTGGTCATACATTTAGTTTTGAGGACACTTCATGTACTGCAGTGTGAGTTGACCACCCACAGATATGATAAGTTTATTGAGCAAAAAAATTTCAAATTACACACACACACACACACACACACACACATTACAACAGGTATGAGCCTTTTGGGATCTCAATTTCAGCAACTGTTGAAATCATTCAATTTTCTAGACATGATCATCTAACAATATTGAGTCCCCTCTCTTACTTTTATTTTATCCTCTTTGTCACTGATTGGTTTGTTGGCCACTCTTAAAACTGTCCAGTGACTTATTTTGTGGGATACCTGTACATGGATTTTCTTAATTTTTTATTTTTTTTATTTTATTTTTTTTCTAACTCTGGTTCTATACTATTGCAGCATCCTAAAATCTTTAGACTTTTGGAGATGAACATCTGATATTAAGTAAGCTCAATGAAAATCAGTTTTATGTGACCTTTCTTTTGAGTTTTACAGCAAAGTGAATCATGTCACAGTTTCCATAAATTATGGGCATGTTAAGCTGTATATCCAACTCAGGTTCTATGATAATTAACAGACTGCAATCACTAAATTTCATGTGAATGATCAGGTAATGACTCCTCATTCCCCTCCTGAAAAAAAGCACACTGTGAAGCCAATGTATCTGAAGGCTAGCTTCATTTTCTCCATATACAGTAACTCTTGCATATAGTGTTATGATAATTATTAAAGAGAAACTGTAAATCCATTTTCTATCTCATACTGGTCTAGGAGGCATCACTTACAGTTATAGCTGTTCATACTGGAAGGAATTAAGATCACAGGTGCCTCTATGCTTTCTCTTTCTCACTCTTATCCTCTACAGTACTGTACTTAAATACATGCATTGTATACAAGAAGATTTGCTCTGATGTAAATTTATATTTTAAAAGGTTTCTCCTCATTCTTTTACAGGGAATTGTTTATGTTTGCCTCCGGATATGCGTCTGTATGATCGTGTATACTGTGGAGCCTCCTGTCCCGAGACTCATGAGCAGTATATGAAGGCTCTTATTAAAGTAAGTAAAAAGTCAGTGTGTGTAGTCATACATTTACAAACATTTTATACACAGTACATTCATATACAGAGTAAATAATTTAAAGATTATTTCATCATAGTAGAGTATGCTTTAATTTTCTGCAGTAGTGTACCCTGATCATGAGTTTGGCTACATTTTTCAGTCAGACTCCACTTGTTATTGATGTACATAAGTTACTTGTGGATCTTTTGCATAATCCTGACTGGAAGAGTGACTCTTAAGTATTAAATTGGAGATTTGTTTCTTCCTTGAAACTGTTTTTGTAAGTTGTAATTAAGACTTTTTCAGAATGTAAGGATTAGTTTTCTAGGTCTTCATTGAAGCACATGGTGTTCCTAGTTCCTAATTTTATGTCCATTTTGAAACATTGTCTTTTTAGGTTGGAAAGACTTATCTGGTCTCAATTTATTTTTTATTGGTCCTAATTGGAAGATAGTTTTTGTAATTAGTACTAATTCAGAGACCACTTCTTTCCTATTGTATTTCACATGGTCTGCCCACAGCCAGGAGGTGTATTGGTAATGCCAATTAATGACCAGCTGGTTAAGATGACTCGCAATGGATCAAACACATGGGAAACTGTTTCCTTGTTGCCCGTCTCTTTCTCTTCACTTGTTATGCCAGATCCCAACCACCCTCCAGCCACTGTCTCTCTCCGTAAGTTAACTTTTGCATGAAATGGAGGTTATCTGTAGAAGAATTTTAAGAACTTTGTTTAATTTAATATATTTGTAGATAAATTGAAAGTTTACTGTTAAGAACACCTGGTAGATTAAATGTTTTTGTTGATACATTGAAAGTATTTGTTTAAAGTTCATAATAGATAATTTTTTGTTTAAAGAGCTTGTTCTAATAAGTGTTTTTGTATATATATATAAATTTGGTAAATCATATTTTATGTCGCTGAATTTAAGATTGATCATTCTTAAAGTATTTGATAAATTTATGTGAGTGGCAGAAAACTGTAAGTGGTTATTTGTGTGTATGAGCAGTAGAGGAGTAAGTGGTTGTCTGTGAGTGGTGAAGATTTATATTCTCATCTGAAAGTCATAGGTAATGATGGTTAGGAATAAATGTTTTAGTACCATGATTCTCCGTAGTTATGATGAGCATAGTGTAGGAGAGGTTATCATGTCAATGGGTAGGTAGTGGCACTATTTTTTATGCAGATGCAGCAACTGTTCTGGGAAAGGGGGTAAATAGGCCACCCCCCCCATCCCCCCCCCCCAAAAAAAAATACACCTCTCACAATTGTGTCCCAGGTTCAATCCCTGGGCCAGATGCAAGAAGTGTGTTATCCATTATGACCCTTACAATTAATGCAGGTTTTCTTTGGGTACTCATGTTTCCCCCTGTACTAACACTGGACAAAAAAAAGGTTATAACAGAGAATGGACCAACCATCTGACCAGATAGTAAGCTGACAAGTGGTGAAAATTAAAAAAAAAAAAAAAAAGAGGTTCTAATGGCAACTTACAATTGAAAGTAAAAGAATATATTACAGTAGTTTGTTAAAGTAGGGATGAACCATTAAAGATAGTTTTGCCTTTTTTGTGAAAGCTATTTGTGTAATAGGAATGAGTAGAGTTACAAACAGTGGTCTTATGAAGGTAATGGGTTGAAAATGGAACTACAGAGAAGGTAAAGATTTGTTTCATGCTGTATGTGTTTAACCCTTTAAGGCCTGGGTCAGTTTGCACCAATTTTCTCCCAGGCAAAGGGGTAAAATAATATACTTTTACAAGAATATGTGATTGTAATATGTCTATGGTGTGTGTCAACATAAGTCATACAGTACTTCCTCTGGAGTTAAAGGGTTGAAATATATGGTAAGATTAAGGAAGCATATACAGTACAATACGTATATATTTGATTGCTTGAAATGGAAGCAGGGACATGAAGCACATCCAAACGTAATGATACAATGTAGTCAGAAAGTGTATGTGTATAGATGTTGAGGTAACAAGGTGTAGCACAAATGTAATATAAAACTTTAATTAGATTTTAGGTATGATGAATTAGCTCTTTAATTATCACCATAGCAGAACACATCAATTACAGTTATGGTAATCAGTGAATGACATAACCATTGAAGGTAGAATACTGTATACAGACACTCCCAGGGTTAGGGATGACTCAGGTTACGGATTTCTGACTCTACGGATACTCTCCCATGAGTCCTATTTAAAATGAGTGCCAAGTAATTCCTGGGCCGAGCAAGGA